CTAAGTAAGTAATATCTAAACTTGAATCGAATTTTACGAAACTTAGCACACATCATTATAGACTCATTTTAGTACGCAATGCTAAATTTCGTGCAAATCGAAAGACATTTAGGGACTTTGACGCACCATTTACCTAAAATCGGACGAAAATATATATGGTAGCTACATCTAAATCTGAACCGATTTAAACGAAACTTGGCAGACATGACTTCACACCTAACTTAGTACGCTGTGCCAAATTTGGGGCAAATCGAATGTTATATAGGGACTTTGGTGTACCATTTACCTTAAATCGGACAAAAATATATGGGAGCTATATCTAAATCGGAAACGATATTTCCCAATTTCAATAGAGTTCTTCCGTGAGCCAAATAAATGAGCTGTGCCAAATTTCATCCAAATCGGATGATAAATGCGACCAGTAATTTGTTTACATTTTAACATCAACAGACGGACATGCATTAATCGACTCAGAAAGTGATTCTATGCATATTCTCAAAAGGACCCATTAGTCTATCTCGTTTTCTTTTGCCTGTTACAAACATATGCACATAGACATAATACCCTGTACCGCAGAGTGGTGAAGGGTATAAAAATCCACGCCGGTATACGGCACTCAAAAAAAAATATATATATATATATATATATATAAAATTTTTTTTAATCCTTTTCTAGAACTTGAAAAATATTTTTTAAAAGTCTACACCTTTTTTTAAAAAATCCACGTCTAAGTGGATTTTCAAAAAAAATATAATTTTTTTTTAAATCGACGATTCAACTGGAATAAATGTTGACACATTTATTCTCCATCCAAATTTGTAAATATATTTTTTATTTTGTTCGTTAATTTAGTTGTTTTTAATTTCCCCATTCTTAAAAAAATAAGAGATTTTTTATTTAACCGTTTTAAAGAGAAAAAATGCATGTTGGGAGTGGAAGAGAGAGTACAGAGTTTGTCTGCAGTTCAATAGGAGTTTCAAAACACTTGTTTACTTACATTTTTGTTGTTGGTGTTGTTGTTATTGAGGGTTTTTGTTGCTATCACTGATTGCAGTATTGTTTGCTTCTTGTTGTTTTTGTAGTTTTGAAATTAAAAAATTACTATTATTTATTTTTCCTATTATTTTTTTTAATTCTTTAATTTTTTTTACTTTTGGGCTATTCACTCTATTTTTCCACTTTGCCTTTTCATTTTTTTTTTTTGTTTCGTTATTTTGAAAACCTTTTTTCTATAGACGTCAGCAAAAATTAATTTTTTTTTGGTGCTGTTGTTTTGAAACAGCTTTCAGTGTGAAGAGAAAAACACTTGGCCAGCACGCAGAGAGATATTCACTTGCCTCGAAATTTTCGGTTTTAATTTTTTTATTATTTTTTATTTTTATATTAGTTTTTGATTTGTTATTTTATTTTAATTTTTTTATATTATTTTTAAATTTTTATAATTTAATTTATTATTTTTTGTTTTTATTTTTTTAATTACTATAAAGCTTTTTTTATTTATTTATTTATTTGCACTTAACACATAACTATAAATATATATTTATTTTTTTTCTATATTATATATTTATTATATCTACATATACGGTATATATAAACTTTCTTATTTAATAAATATACTAAAAAAATTAACATAACAAAATTGGTGTTTCCATTTCCATTTTTTTTTTTTCTATATATATTTTTATTTTGTTGTGTGTTTCAAAACCGACCGATAATATTTAAACACGTTTGTACATGTATCGTATATTATTATTTTTTCTTCTTCTTGCTGTTGTTTTTGTATATAAACACAGTCGATTATTGGTTTGGTTGTCGTCGACAACGACGACGTTGTCGTATTTTAAATTTCGTTTTTTTTTGCGTTTTATTCACTTCGTCGTTGCCGTTTTGTTATTTATTTATTTACTTTTTTATTTTGTTATACACGTAGCCATTGCATACTCGCATTCACAAACCCAAACACACACACTCACACACATAGACAGCTATCTCATTTCATTTTTTAATAACAATTGTTGTTGAACAGCAGCAAAAAACAGCCAAGCAGCCAGCCAGCAAGCAGTGAAACCCAAGTTAAAACACACAAAAAACAAAATCAAGCAGAACTTATAACAGATAGATCATGAAACTTTAAATAACAATAACAACAACTACAAATAAACACGCGCGTATATATTTCTACTTTTATTTTAAATGTTTTCTTTTTTGCTTTCTTCTATTTATTTATTTTATTGTAAGATAGCCTTTACTTTTTTCTGTTTTTTGTCTTGTTGTCCGTTACCCGAAGCTTAAATTCGAAATTAAAAAAAAAAAACGAATGTAAAACCGATGAACGATGCGCTTGAGACAACGGTTTCAATGCGAATGAGTCGGAAATTGTCAAACGTCAGCAGATAACACAACGAGAAAAGGTTTGTCGTTGGTTGGTTGGCTCAGAGTGTGTGTGTAGCCTAGCTACAACGAGAAATAATAGTAACCGTTTGCACAAAGAGTATCAAATCGTTATGAAAAGAGCGAGAGAGAGCTATAATTCAACAGGAAATAAGAGTGCGGCAAAACAAAGAGAAGAGCTTAATAAATAACGTATTTTTAAATGTGAAATAAGCAAAGAAATTAATAAAAATTTATTTTTAAAAATATAAAAAAAAATATTTTAGATTAAAAAAAAATAAAAAAAATTCACAAGTGGATTTAAAAAAAAAGATCTGTACACAAGGCGTGAATTTTTTTAAAACATATTTTTTTGAAGATTTACACAAGGCGTGGATTCTTTAAAATAATTTGTTTTCAAAATCTACACAAGGCGTGGATTCTTTAAAATATATTTTTTTTTCAAGATGTACACAAGACGTCGATTATTAAAAAAAATATATATATTTTTTTTAAGTTTTACACAAGACGTCGATTATTAAAAAAAATATATATTTTTTTTGAAGATCTACACAAGGCGTGGATTTAAAAAAAGAAATATATTTTTTGAAGATCTTCACAAGTCGTGGATTTAAAAAAAAAATTTGGAGATCTACACAAGGCGTGGATTTTTTTAAAAAAATATTTATTGAAGATCTATACAAGGCGTGGATTTTTTTAAAAAAATATTTATTGAAGATCTATACAAGGCGTGGATTTAAAAAAAGAAATATATTTTTTGAAGATCTACACAAGGCGTGAATTTAAAAAAAGAAATATATTTTTTGAAGATCTACACAAGGCGTGGATTTAAAAAAATATTTTTTGAAGATCTACATTGTTTAATTGCTTAGAATTAAAAAAAATACCGTGGATTTTTTAACTTTTTTAGAATTAAAAAAATTAGCATGGATTTTTAAATTTTTTTTAGAGTTAAAAAAATAGAATTGATTTTTTAATTATTTACATTGTTTAGAATTAAAAAAAATGCCGTGAATTTTTTAATTATTTATATTGTTTAGAATTAAAAAAAATGCCGTGGATTTTTTAACTTTTTTAGAAAAAGAATTAAAAAAATTTGCATGGATTTTTCAATTTTTTTAGAGTTAAAAAAATAGAGTTGATTTTTTAATTATTTACATTAATTGTTTGCATTGTTTGGAATTAAAAAAAAATTACCGTGGATTTTTAATTTTTTTAGAATTAAAACAATTAGTGCGGATTTTTCAATTTTTTAGGATTAAAAGAATAGAGTTGCTTTTTTAATTATTTTTTAAAATTAAAAGAAAATTAGCGTGGATTTCTAGAATTTTTTAGAAATAAAAAAATTAGCGTGGATTTTTTAACAAACATTTTATTAAAACTTAAAAAACATTTAAAACTTAAAACTTTTTTTTTGAATTTTTTGATTTGAAAAAAAAAATAGAATTTTTTGATTTTTTAAACAAATATTCTTAGAAATTTTCGATTTTTTTTTTTGAAATATATATTGATTTTTTAAAAAATATTACAAAAAATTTTAGATTTTTTAAAAAATATTCTTAGAATTTTTTGATTTAAAAAAAATTGTTTTAGAATTTTTTAAAAAAATATTCTTAGAAAATTTTGAGATTTTTTAAAAAATATTCTTAGAATTTTTAGATTTAAAAAAAATGTTTTAGAATTTTTTAAATAATATTTCAAAATGAATTAACAAAAATAATTTTTTTACGATTGTGGCTTTTTTACAAAATATTTTTTTTAAGTTTTATTATAAAAGAATATTTAATTTGTAGAACTATTTTAAAAATAATTCTTGATTTTTTTACCATCTTTGAGTTTTTAAAAATTTATTTATTTAACTTTTTTTTAAATTAAATATTTTATAAATATTTTAATATTTTCTTTTTTGATTTCTTTTTAATATTTTATATGCGAAATACATAAATTTCTAAAAAATTAGAAGTAATTTTTGATTTCTTTTTTATAAAAGAAAAATTCCAAGCGTTAAAAATTATATTTTTTTTAATCCACGCTTACAACAAAAAATTCAAAAAAGTGTTTAAAAATAAAATTTACAAGAAAATAAATATTTTTTTAGATTAGATTTTTATATTTTATTAGTATATATATTTTTTAGCTTATATGCTTATTTTGGCGCCTTAAATTTAATATGATTGCTGTGAGTGATGGCGTCATTACACCTGATGTGATTTTACTTTGTATTTTCACTATCTAGTTCCTAGAGTTCATTTTAGTGAATGGTTCACTTTATTGTACTTTTTCCCTTGCCTATTTCTAAACAAGGCCGATTTTACCACCATTATGCATTACACTCATTCGTAAACATAACAGGTCTCCGTTCATTTTGTTTGCAGTTGATATTTATTAGGCATTCTCTCTTAACTCCTGCAATTCTATAATGTGGAACGTTTTTATGCGAGGTTGGTTTAAACGGCACGACGTTGTGTCTAGTCATTTAACGCTGGCTTGGCATTCGGACTGAAAATTGTGAAATTTTTTTACATTTGTAGAAAAAATAAACTAAATTAATTTATAAAAAAACGCTACATTGCTTCCCAAGTTTCCGCCGAACACCACTCCATCCAAAAATGGCCGAAGATTGGCAGTCCCAGAAATTTCGGCAAAATGTCATTAACAAAATGTAAGTTTGGCATTTTTTTCGCAAAAATTTGATTTTTTTCTAATTAAATCTCTTCCATAGCAATGAAATGCTGCAGAATACCAGTCAGGATGGTTCCAAGAATGCGGGCGTTATGGAAAATCACATATTCAAGAAATCCAAAACCAAGGATGAATATTTGGGTTTGGTGGCAAAACTGTTCATGCATTTCAAAGATATACAAAGTATGTAGACGACAGTGAGAGACAGGTATAAAGTTCGGCATTGTCTGAATAATTATTTTTGTTACTTCCTTTAGGACGCCCCCAACAGGCCCCACCACCAAATGCTGAAATACCACAACAGAATATGATGCAAGATCCGCTGAATGCTTTGCAAACCTTGGCCAGCCAGGGTAATCGTAATCCCCAAATGATGTCAATGCCAGGTGGGCCGAATGCCCAACAAGGTGCCGGGCCGAGTGGTCCAGTGCCGGCCTCAAATCTTTTGCAGACCTTGAATCAACAACGCCCTGGCCAGCAAATGCAACAGATGCAGGGCCTGCGGCCCCAAATGGCAATGGGTGCTGTGGGTCCGGGTCAGCAGCAGGGCAACATTGGTGGTCCGGGGCAGCAGCAAATGATGGGCGGCCCAATGGGTGTGCAAATGAACGTTATGGGTGGACCTAATGTGGGGCCCAATCAGCAGATGGTGGGTAATGCACAAATGGGTGGTCCCACGGGTGGACCGGGTGGTGTTGGTGTCGGCCCTGGTGGTCCCCAAGGCATGCCTGGGCAAATGAATCAAATGGGTGGCCCTGGAACCGTGGGTCCCATGGGTCCAAATGCTGGACCGGGTGGGCCAAATCAAATGCAGATGAGCATGCAACATCCTCAACTAAATCAAATGATAAATGCACGTATGAATCAGGGTGGCCCGGGAGGTCCTATGAATGTGGGTGGTCATGCCGGCCCAAATCAGGGCATGCAGGGAATGCCGCCTAATATGCAGCAGAATCAAGCTGGCGTGGGTGGAGCTGGAGGTGGACCCATGCATATGGGTAATATTGGTCCGGGAAATGCGGCCCAAGGTCAGGGACCAGGTCCCATGGCCAATAATGCCGGGCCACAAGGTAAGACATTTTTTATTTATATTTAAAATTTATTCTAATTAAATTCCCATCCTTAGGCAATCTCAATCAAATGTTGAATATGGCTCCTGGCATGCAAAAGAATCCCAATATAACTCTCGGACAGGGTCAACAAATCTTCAATGTAAATCGTGGTGTTGTGGGCCAACAACAATTCCTACGGCAAAGTCCCTCACCCAGTACGGTGGCTTCGCCAGCAGGATCTCTTAATGTCCAACAGCAACAACAAATGCAACAACAAGTTGTAAATAATCAACAACAACAAATGCAACAGCAGCAACAACAACAGCAACCAAATCAAAATGTTGTACCCCAAAATACTTTGGCAAATTCTCAAATGATACCCAGTCCGGCCTTGGTACCCACCTCTAGCCCACAAATGGCCGGGATGATGCAAAATCCCAATCAGCGGCAACAAATGCGTCAATCACCTAGCCAATCGATTAATACACCTGGTCAAGTGACTCAAAACAGTCCCTTCAATCCACAAGAGGATCAATTATATCGTGAGAAATATAAACAACTAACGAAGTATATAGAACCACTCAAGAGGGTTGTCGACAAGCTACGCATTGATGGTGGCAATGCTGAGAATTATCGTAAAATGAGTAAGCTATTGGAAATTCTTACCAATCCCGCACAGCGGGTATCTTTGGAGACGCTATTGAAATGTGAAAAGGTTTTGGAAAATACCGATATGAAATCCTATTCGGATCAGTCGTTTGGGGTAAGTATTACAAATTTATTTGAAATAAAAAATATTTCAAAATAATTTTTATTTTCTAGAAATCTTCAAACCCCTTGATGGAAGTCATAACGGCCACCTTGCAAAGTCCCTTGGCCAATCACACCTTGTATCGCACCTTTAGACCTAGTCTGGAATTGCTTTTTGGCACCGATATTGCCGCACCACCAGCCAAAATGCCAAGACCAGCAGAAAAACCCGCAAAGGGTGATTTAGAAATTCCGCATGTCTTGCAGGGTGAAATAGCTCGTTTAGATCAAAAATTCAAGGTTAGCTTGGATCCGGCAGCCCAGAATAACCCGAAATCGATAAAATTGATTTGTTGTCTGGATGATAAGAAGTTGCCTTGTGTACCACCGGTTAGCATTAATATACCGGGTGAGTGTTCACATTTTTTTTTTAATAAATTCTTTTTAGGAACTTTGAGGGGCGTGGATTTTTAAAGAAATATTTTATGAAGGTTCAACAGAGGCGTGGATTTTTAAAGAAATATTTTTTTAGGTTCAGTCGAAGCGTGGATTTTTAAAGATATATTTTTTGATGTTCAATAGAGGCGTGGTTTTTTAAAGAAATATTTTTTGAGGTGCAGTTGAGTCCTGGATTTTAAAAAAATATTTATTGAGGTTCAGTCGAGGCCTGGATTTTTTAAGAAATATTTTTTGAGGTTCAATAGATTTATTTTTTCACCAATTTATTTTTAATATTTAAAAATTAATTAATTTTTTCAATTTTCTTTCAGAGGATTACCCCTGGTCATCACCTGAATGTTCCCTAATCGAACATGATTATTCGGCTACGCCATTTTTAAATGCCGTACAAAATGCTTTGGTGGCACGCATTGCCAAATTACCCAAACTCCATTCGTTGTCGCATTTATTGGATACATGGGAAATGTCTGTGCGTCAGGCTTGCTCACCCAATGCCGCAAAACCTATCTGCGAATTTACCGCTCTACTGGGAATGTAAAAAAAAACCCCGAAGTGCAGAAAATTCAAAAACTAAATATTAAGAAATTTTACAACTATAAGTTTAAATATAATTCGTCATTTTCATTAATAAAGAAACAACGTGAAATCAAGTCTACGGTATTGTGTGTCCAGAAATTGGAAGAAGGTACATAAAATATAAATGATTTTAGTTTTCCCTTTGTTTGTTAAGTCCCCCATAGTTATTTAATCCAAGTAGTATTGGAACCTTGAAAATATTTTTTGTGTTTTCATTAATTTTATATATTTTCTTTATTTTATTCTCAATTTTTAGTATTATAAGAATCATATCAAATATGCAAAATATGCATATCAAATTACCATTACAAATCCAGCAAAATTTCAAAATCATCAATCAAGAAAATCAAGATTTTAATTTATCCACATTTGCATCAAATCAATCAAGAACTTCAATATTTAAATAAATTCTTTCAAGGTAAGTTTTATATATTAATTAATAGAATAATTTTGAATATTTATATATAATAGCATTTAAAGAACGATGATATTAGAAAATTTCCACAATACTCAATTGGTGTGGTTTCTTACACATTTCCGCAAAAATTAACTTCAAGACCCTTTCTCGAAATAATCATTGACCGACCTATATATTTTGGGAACAAGACTTCATTACCATTCCAATGACAGTCTGCTAGTGTAAACGTCTGATTTCTGTATAGAAAGAGAACTTTAAGACCCTTTTAATAGTGAGCTGCACACATTGAACCTTTTAAGGCTCCAAAAGTGGCATGATTTTTTTTTTTTTTTTAAAAAAAGTTTTCAAAGCTCCATAAGAGGCGTGGAGTTTTTAAAAATTATTTTTTCAGGGTTTGCTGTTTTGTGTTTCTCTAGCTACTCGTCGTGTAAACACCAAAAATGATGAGTGTTTAAATTCTGATGTGGTGAAGTCAGCTTGTTCGATTCGAGATATAGCTTACTTTGAATGGCGCGGAAGGCCTACTGATGACAATAGACGTATATATTGTATCTGCAGAAATCGTTGTAAAGCTGTTATGCGTAATGAGAGAAGAAAATATTATGAAAAGTTATTCGGTCGTATGAACAGTAGTCAATTATGGAAGTCCCTTAGGTCCTTTGGTTGTCTAGATTGTGGTGATGATATTCTTTTTTTAAGTTAATACTGTTAATGATTACTTTTGTAATGTGGCCAACTATAATCCTGGTGTGAATGTAGGAATTGATGGTGAGATGGTGACATTGTTCAAGAGTCATTTAGGTTTTAGTGCGTGTTTATGGAGGATGTTGGAAGTGTTCTCCGCAAAATTATATCTAGAGCTGTAGGTTTTAATGACATTTCTATTAAATTTTTTAAGAGTATTTTTCCATAGATATCTGATCACTTTTTGCATTTTGTTAATTGTATTTTTATGACGTCATCCTTCGCGCAAGCTTGGAAGGTGGCTCGTGTTGTGCCTGGTCCGAAGAAAGGGTCGTCATGCAGTCAGTCTAACTGGCGTCCAATAAGTGTTTTTTCGGTCATGTCGAAGATAGTAGAGCATATTATCAAATATGCTATTTTGGAGTTTCTTGATGACCGTAAATTCTTGAGTAGTTCTCAGTATGGCTTTCGGTATGGCTGCAGTACAACGATCCACTTATTAACCCTTAATGATATTATTGAGGGTTCTGATGTTGGTCTTGATTTGTCTAAGGCCTTTGATGCTATTGACCCCGCGCAGCTTATACGCAAGCTAAGAGTCAAATTTGGCGTTTCCGTTTCGGCCTGCAGTCTAACTTCCTCGTATCTGGAGTGAAGATCCCTGTTTGTTGTGCGGAGTCCCGCAGGATTCTATGATGGGCCCATTACTTTTTAATATGTTCATTAATGACATCATGGATTCTGTTACGGCTGATAACTTTAGTCTCTCTTGTATTTATTGCTGCTATGACGGTTCTATAATCATTGATGCCAAACTTAGTTTTTCGTCTCACATTGATCTTCTGTTGTCCCGTGTGCGATTCCACCTTAGGAGGCTTTATAGTGTCCCAGCATATTTGCCTTTTGGCGTTAGGGTGAAGTTGGCTATGTCGTTGTTGATGTCTCAGGTAAACTATTTTTTGGAGGTAATTTCGGGCTCTAATTCTGATCATTTGAATCGGGTATTATAGAATTATGAGAAATGTTAATTTACCACTTTGTAGTAGGTTTGTGTTGTGTAGATCCTCTCGGAACCCTCAGTTGTTGTATCCGAGGTTTTTGTCTGTAATTTGTGAAAGATCATTTGTAGTTAGGGTCGTAAGATTGTGGAATCAGCTTCCTTTGTGCCTTCGTAAGTTTACCTTTACCACTTTTAAGTATAGAAGGAAATTGTTTGTGCATTTGTTTCGTATTTGATAAAGTTGGCTTTGAAGAAATCGTTGATTACAGGTGGCATATTATTACTTTGCCTTTTTTAATTCTTGGCTGGGTTGCCATATTTATTAAAGTTCAATGGCATTTATTATTATACGGGCATGTTCTGGGATTCACTACTTCAACGGCAGAAGTGTATCGAACACACACCGAAGTGTTCTGTAACATACTTTACACCCATTTGAGGTGTATTCTTTACACTTACATTTTCATAGTGAGAGTCGGGTCGGGTGTATTCATGTTTTTCTATATAAAAGAAAATCTTTTTTTTTTTTGAAATAAAAAAGTCACATTATGATAGATTAATTGGTTTAAAATCACAAATTAAACATTAAACGTCATTTAAAACAAATTTTAAATAGATACTAAGGTTTGTGTTGCATTTTCTTCAACTGAATTTCTCGCTTGACACAATCAGCTGATTTGAAGTAATGCCGAAGAAGATAAAATTACCAAATATACCCCTTGTGACAGAACTTACGTTCCATAAGTCGAGCTTAGAAAAGATTTCAAGGCGCGTCGGTCTTTTGCGCAGTTTTTCCAATTTGAAATATCATTTTCGGAGATATTGTCTTCGATTTGATCTTTCCAATATACTCTTGACCTTCCCTTCTGCGCGAACCATCAGCCGGTTCGCTTTTATATGCCTTCTGGGCTGGGGCATATTCATGCATTCTCACAACATGACCTAGCCAACGTAGTCATATCATTCAGTTGACGTCTATCAATGTCGATGTCCGAAAATAGCTGGTACAACTCATGGTTCATTCGACGGCGATATTCACCATCAACGCAGATATGCCCATAGATGTTTCGGAGAATTTTTCTCTCAAACACTCCAAGAGCTGCCTTATCTGCTTGCGTAAGTTCCCATGCTTCAGATCCATATAACAGCACGGGTAGTATCAGCGTCTTGTAGAGTGTGAGTTTGGTCTGGCGGGAGGTGGCCTTGCTTTTGCTTCACTATCCTTCTCCGAATTTCTAAAATTGATGTCATTCGTTTTCTTTATGGCGGTACCAAAGTATATAAAATCTTTGACTACCTCGAAGCTGTTGTTCTCAAGTTCCACAGTTGGTCCGAGTCTACTGGACGTCTTGAGCGTTGATACCATCAGCTTGGTCTTCTCGCCGTTTACTGCTAGACCCATTTTGGCAGACTCCTTCTCAATTTGTTCAAAGGTGGCTGTTACCCGCTCGCAATGTTCGACCCCTTTTATCGATGTCATCGGCGTAGGCGAGTAACTGGTGTTGTTTGGTGCACAGAGTACGATTTCTGTTTACTTTTGCCTTTCGTATACACTTTTTCCAGCAGGATGTTAAAAAGGTCACACGACAAACTGTCACCTTGTCTGAATCCTCGTTCGGTATTAAAGGTCTCCGAGAGGTCCTTTCCGACGTTAACTGCTGATCTTGTGCCACTTAAAGTTATCCTGCACAGCCGTATTAATTTTGCAGGAATGCCGAACGTAGACATGGTTTCAAACACCTCTTAACGGATAGGGCTGTTGAATGCGGCTTTATAGTCAACACATAGCTGGTATGTGTCGATGTGTTTTTCGTGGGTCTTTTTTAGGATTTGGCGCAAAGTGAAAATCTGGTCAATGATGGACTTGCCAGGTCTGAAGCCGCATTGGTATTGCCCAATAATGTTGACCAATTGGCTTCAGCATACAGCACGCTGGATAGCACTTTATATGCGATGGGAAGGATACTTATTCCTCTATAGTTGGCACATATCGTCATGTCTCCTTTTTTGTGCACGGGACACAGGATGATGAGGTTCCAATCATTGGGCATGCATTCCTCTAGCCATATTGTACTAATCAGCTGGTGCATGCTCCTGACCAGCATCTGACCACCAGTCTTGAATAGTTCAGCTTGTAACCCATCGGCACCTGCTGCTTTATTATTCTTTAGCCGATTGATTGCTATTTTGACTTCATCTTGGCTAGGTGGTATACACTCTATACCGTCATCTCTTATTGGTTCTGGGGTATCCTCTTCACCGCCAGTATTTGATACCAGCAGTTTTTCAAAATGTTCCTTCCAGATCCTCAGCACACTGTCTGTATCTGTCACCAGATTTCCTTCTTCATCGCTACAGGAGGATGTGCCTGCACCAAAGCTTTCGGTTTGGTGTTTTACCCGTTGGTAGAATTTTCGGACTTCATTCTGACTTATGTATATCTCGATTTGCTCACGATCATTTTTTTTTTTTGTTCTTTTTTCTGAAAATACGTTTTCCTCTCTCCTTTGCTCCCGATAATTCTCCATCAAATTACGTGTTGCTACTGTCTGTAGGGTTGCCCTATACGTTGCGTTTTTCATATCAGTATCATTACGACACTACTGATCGTACCACGGACTTCTTGATGGTGGTCTTTGGTACCCAAGTGTTGCTTTTGCTGCAGTTTGTAGGGAGTGGGCAATTGTTTGCCATTGTGCTTCTATACTATTATCGGGACAAGGAGTGCTTGCCATTGTATTTTTTTTCTAAAAAAAATTTAACCCAACCCCTCCCGAATAGAAGAAATAAAAACACACAATAATGATTTAAGTTTTTAGAATGATTTTGGAAAATAT